GTTCATACGGTGAGCTACACCCATGAAAGATCTGTCAGTTGAGCTTCACCTGTGTGTACACCAAGGGAATGCTGATCCAGTCATAGTGGAAGAGCATGCTGCATTTTGATCTATAGTTATTCAGCTCCTGACAAAGAGGAAGAAAGGAAGGAATTATTGTGCTTTTATGGCATGCATGCATCATCTTGACATGTTTAAACACACTTACATCCATGAGCAGTCGCAAGGCTATGTCATCTTTCACACGCCCTTCTTTTCTTGCTTGTGATGCCAGATTTGCAAACCATGCAAGTGGCATCCAGTATTTGTTGAAGTCAGAGTACAGATGGTTTAGTTTTTTGAGCTCGTCTGCGGTCATGAATCCTGCAAAAAAAAAAAAAAAGTCAAATAAATGCTTCCCAGAGTGTAATTCTGACAAATTCACTGGTTTTGAATAAGACAATGACATGCTATGATAGATATATTCTTTGGAATCAAGTAAATTGGAATGGCACATACCAGTGGCTCAGTATTTCCTGCACCACTTCACCTCCAAGTCAAAAGAAATCATATTTTTCCTTAGTCTGCATTTAATATGTAATGGCAAGAAATGTATTTTTATTGAGTTATCCTTGCAAAAACATACATGACCAGAGTAGTCTGATTCACAAATAAATAATTCTTATCAACTGATTTTTTTGGGGGGGAATCAAAAACATACAACACAACTTTAGTCCGCTTCACAAATAAAAGATTCTTATGAGCCACTACTTTTTAGTGAATTAAAAAAACACAAAGTGACCAGACTTGGCAGCTTCACAAATAAATACCAACAAACACAGAACCTTACCCTAATGTTCCCATTTGGACATTTTTGGGGAACCAAATACGAGCATTCTGGGAAATGTTCTCCAAACTAACGGGTTTTTTTTGGTTTTACGTAAAGAAGACTTGCCTGGCTAGCCAACAGAGAACATTATATGCGTGTTTTCACAACGTTCTGAGAACTAAAAATTGTTAGCAGGGTGACTCTTACGAGCCTGTTATTAAACGACCGAGTAGTCCGCTTCATGAACAACTGGATCTTATGAGATGATCCTTTCTAGTGAATTAAAAATGTACAATGCTACCATACCTCCATCCATTCTCCAAACCACTTATCCAGTCTACGGTCACGGGATAATGTGAAGTAAACTAAAGTTCTTTTTAGTGAATCAAAAACATACTTTACTAGTTTACTAGAGGAGGACTGACTCACGAAACAAATTACTCTTATGGGCTGGTACTTTTAGTGAATCATAAATCCGAATTAGGTTTGAATCAGTCTAACAAATCCTTAACTGAATTAAATACATCATAACAGCTAATGAATCATTGTCTGACTCACTTACTGAACTGCAAGTTATAGCTATACTTTCTGTGCCTGTATGAAGAAAGTTTTGTGTAATTGGCATTACCGAGTATATAGTCTGTAGAAACAATAGCAATTCTGTAGAAAACAATGCAAAGGTTCCATACTTTATTATAGCGATGTGTTAAACACCTTGAAAAGTAATCCAGTACTTCTATTCCTCCCAAACAAGTTCTTACCTGCCTCCACAATGTCCTCCAGAGCTGAGAATCTCTTGCGTACTCGTGTACTGATGGAGCGCAGGATGAGGACCGACGACAGGTTTGCATACCTCATCAGAGTTCTCCTCAGAAGACGGCCTCTTTCATCTGTGCCGTGGACATTTCCAGATATGACCATCATCAGGTTGTCTGGCAGGGGAAAGCTTGTATATTGACCCCACCAACGCTGAAACGCCTGGGTGACATAGAACCCTAACAAGCACCACAGACCAGTTTAACTTAGTGCAAGGAACCCAAAGAGTTAGTAATGTCATGTTGCTATGGTCAGAACATCTATGCTCACCAAGAACAAATGACATAGGGATGAGTTTAGCAAACTTGTTGCAATGGCGTGCAAGTCGCTCAAACACCTCTTGTTGTTCGTTATTGAGGACACACCTGTAAGATTCAACATGGATTGATTTGAGTTTTGGAGGGACAACAGTTCTTCATATGTGCACTTGAATAACCAAGTCCAATATCTATCCTCAAACCGTTATTTAAAAAGAAGTATCTCTACTTTCTGCATATCGCTTGCATTAAATTAGTTTTCTAACTAACCTTAAAACTTGGCCTTTCAGTATGGACTGTATTGGCATTACAAAAAGTGGCATGTTCTTATGACTTGGCACTCAAAACGTTGCTAGCTTATAATTTGCTTTGGATAAAAATCTTCAGCCAAAAGAATGTGAAATTGTAAAAAATGTGGATTGTAAAAATGTTTTGAATGTCATGATACCTGTATAGAATACTGATGAAGCTGTACAGTAAACAGAAGACCAGGAATTCTCTGTATAGAAGCTTGTAAATGCTTCCTTTCCATCGGAAGAGTAACTTCGTGAAGCCTCCAAACTTAGCATTGGCCACCTTGAGCGTGTAGGATACCGTCATGGTGGAATACTAGAAAAACACTCCAAAAAAAGTAAGAAGTTTTCACAATTCTGTGACACATTTGTCATATAGTCTTTTTGTTGTTGTTCTTACCTTAGTGCTTCAAGCTCGTCTTCTTTTAGAGAGAAAACACACCTCTTGTTTTCTCCTTTATATATCCGTCTTTAATGTGGAGCTATCAATCCATCCTGTGATTTATGGTTTGGGAACCCAGTTTAAAAGAACATGTTCATGGTCAATGTCAGTTTCACACAGGTCTCATCATTATGAATGATTACTGTGTGTTTATAGTTATAATTTATGACAAGGTATTTATCACTTGATTGTGCATTTTGCAAATTGTCTTTCAAGTTCTTTGTTTATAATAATAAAAATTTTTTATTTTTTTCTTTTCTCTTTTTGCAGTGATTCCATAACCATTTTTGGTTCCCCAGAGAACCTTTAGTGAACAGTTCTTAAAAGAACCACTTTTCTTCCTAGTGTGAAGAACAGTTTAATGATCTGAGAATCCTTTTGTGCAATGGAAAGGTTCCACGGATGTTAAAGGTTCTTCATGGAACCATAGATGCCACTAAAAATAATAAATATTTTTAAGAGTGATCTTGATGCATGTTAATATTAATATTAAATAACAACAAGCATTAAAAGGATTTAGGAATTCTTAGACACGGCATATGCAATAAAACATGAATTTCTTGAAAGGCCATAAGCCATAAGTAATTATAATAGTAGATGATATCAAGTGCAAACATATTTACATAACTGGTAAATAGCTGTGTTATAAATCCTCTTTCATATCACCGTTATAAACCATTCACATGTGAACTGCTCATGGACAAAAACACACAAAACAAGTTATTTTAAAACTAGAGATGCTTTATATCCAACCAAACAGTCTAATTAAGGGAAAAGAGAAAATATATCTATTTACAATAATTTTTTATCTATCTACAGATTTTCAGCAAACGTTAGGGGGCAGTAGACACTAGTAAGTACTGAGTTACTCCAGTTTAGGAGGCCCATCACAGCACTTCAATTCACTTCATACAAGCTGAACACTCATTCCCTCCCTTGTTAAATAAAGCAAAAGCTTGATCACATGTTTTGTTTAACCCAGACTTCCCCTTGAGACATTGTTTACATATCCTGTTTTCCAGCTGAATTCAATTAGGTAAGAAGAATCATACATGTAAAACACATCAAGACAATAGTCAAACATATATAATTTATTAAACAAATTACAAATGAATCAGTAAAAAGCAATAATATATGATCACTTTTTGCTCTTAAAGGAACAAATAGTCATTAAAAAAAAAAACATCTCTTGAGAGGCTTGAAGGTTTTTCAGGAAACATCATTTTACATTTTTGTTTGAGCAAAACCTTTCTGGTAATCACTAAATCAATGTCTTTGCTAAAAAATTGCAAAACTTTGACAATGATTTATATGTTATTAGGGCATGTTCATAATTGCAGTGATGGTTTAAATAATTACATTGTTCTAAAAGAACAAGCTTTTGTTCTCAGTTGTAATTGTGTCTGTTCAGGCAAGCTTTAAAAATAGAAATTTCACAACTGTAAAGTGCCCAGCACAGAGCCCAAAATATAAGACTCTGTCCCACAGCATGCAGGTAGAGATGCCTGTGAGGCCATTACAGCGCTGCAGGTTTTACTGGACGGAGTAACCCAATGCTATAATTACAAACTCCCACACAGGAGGAAATCAGAGCTAGCTTTCTATTACTGCAGAGTGATTTCAGCCACTAATGAATGGGCTGGGTCATTATGGGGACACTGAAGCAGATCTTGTGAAGGACAGTGTGAGACTCTGGAACGGCTATATTAATTTCATACTTGGTCCCTTAGGATTGAGTGTAATTAAGAAATGTTTTCGCAATTTCAGTTAAACAACCAATGATTAGAGCCTGTAGTCCAATTAGCTAACACTGAAAGAGTTAAAAATATGTCTAAAAAAAATGCAAATCAACAATTATGTGAAAAAGCATTTATTTGAAGCCAACAATGAAATATAATTTCTCATTTTTAGGATTGTTTGATGATGTCACAAGTTATCATAATAAATTTATACAGAAAGTCCAGTGTAACTCATATGCACAAAAACTGCACGTGTTGTTCAGTGTTGTTTGACCATCACTCTTTTCTGGCCTTTTTGTTGCTGGCCTTAGAAATTGTACTAGGTTTATTCTGTCGTTATGTCATATAGACATGGACAGTGTTATTGTATATTACTGTACTTATATACTGTTATAGTATTTATTATTATTTTTATATTTTCTTATATATTTTTTACGTTTTCGTTTTTAGTTTATCTTTCATGCACTTCTCTCATCTTTATTAGCTTTTTAGTTTTAATTCATTTTTATTTCAGTTTTAGTCATTTTAGTACTTCAGCTTAAACCTGTTTTATTTCATTATGCCAAGGCAACATCTCTCATTTTCATTTGAAGTTTTTAAAGTTTTCATTTTCATCTAATATTTATATTTTATTTAATTTCAGCTTTATTTCAATCAACGAAAAGACAGTTATAAGTCATTTTATAGGTAAAAGTTGAGTGTTACTTGTTTTGAATGGTGTACATAACCTCTCCTGCTTTATTTAGGCTTTCCACTGAAATCTGCTTATGTTAAATTTTACTTGCGGAGTCAGTCTGATCTTATCTAAAAGCCACTTCATTTGACTAGTACAGCTGTTTATGTTGATTTGATTATACAAGTTTTTAACTGGCTAAAAATACATTAATTATTAACAAAGCCAAAATAATGATTACATCAGCTGAGGCCATCTGTGGAAACAGGCTAGACATTATTGACTAAATAATCACTGTTTTCAACATTTACATAGTTACATAAACAGTAACCCTCCAAAATTCTGTGTAGGAGAGAAATGTTAATCCATCATACATCAAATTTGAGCAGATTTGATTACTCAAGATAAAGACCAGATAATATTCTCTTGCTCTCTACTGTTACTTTTCCTCTTCTTGATGATATATAAGTTGTATGTGACACCAAATACATTTTACATTGACTCTAAACACTGTAACTGAATGTGAAACACAAAGTAATATTACAATAATAAAACTTCCCATCTAAATTACAGTAGAGGACGAAGATATAAAAATCTCAATATAATGAAAATATCCAGGGGACAGCTATATGATAGCTTATCTTGGCAACAGACTGAGTCTGCAAACAACTCCATTTGACACTTTATCAGTACAGTAATTCATTCACGTTGTATGCAAAAGTAATGGCTTCACACGGCACAGTGACTTCCTTTAACAGCAACGTTCACTGTGCATTTGCAACCAAAGGGGAAACATTCTTACTGAAGGTGCAGTCACATTAGCAAAAAACTGCTCACGCAGATGTCACTTTCAAACCAAGCAGCTTTGTGTTGGTCAGCGAGGCAAGTTGTGATCAACATGAGCAGTCGGTATCACCTTCACACAAAACTCTTCTTCTTTGCGGATTCTTATTGGAAGGACTGGATTTGCCCATGAAATTTGACCAAGAAAACGGTAAATGTGACCTCACCTTCAGACTTCCCCAAATTCCAGTGTACTTGCTTGCATCTCTGAGTATCTCAGTCAAACGCACCATTTCCTGTACTGTCACGAGAGGTCCACACTCTCATACTCTCCATGATCGGAGTCTTCGATTTCAATCCCGGGAACCAGGCTGTAGTATTCAGTGGACTGGGTCAGGTACGCCTTCTCCCGATCGGCTGAGTCCTTCATCACTTCGCTCACACTCACCATGTCCAGGTCCTGCTTTCCCGCTGTCCCTTCTGTGGAGCAAGTGGACGGCAGAGGGGCCAGTGAGTTTACAGAGCCCAGTTTGATCTCCACCTCCTCATAAATATCCAGAGTGCTGCCCAACAAGTTGGATGAGGGCTGAAGCATCAGCTGGTTCTTCAGTATGACCTCCTTTCCACCGTCTACAGACACTGCTGACTCCCCAGTTGGCAGCTTGGCATGTGGCCACCGTCCATTGCAATGGGAGTTGTTGGATCTTTTGCGAGACGGGCTGAACGATGAGCTGTCTTTCCTCTTCTTCTTCGTCCCACAGCACCAGCAGAGCACCAAACTGAGGAGGAGGAACAGGGGAAGCAGGATGAAGAGAGCGGTCAGGTTGGCCAAATGGCACACGTCACTCGTCTGCAAAGACCAAACAGTCCGTCCTGCGAGATTCTGAGGAGAGGCACAGGTCAGATTACCTACGAGGTCCTGAAGGCTGCTGGAGTTGATGTGTGGACCACCTTGAAGGCCCTCCAACAGCGAGCATGTGCAGGCCCAGGGGTTTCCGATGAGCTCCAGATGCTCTAGCGAAGGCTTAAGCGCTGAATGAGGTAGAGCGCTCAGCTGGTTCCATCCCAGGATCAACGCTCGCAGTTTGTCCGAGCTCTGCAGAAACTGCTCGGGCAAATGTTTCAGATGATTTTCTCCCAGATCCAGCACTTCCAAACTATAGGCTTTAGCTAGGAAGTCACCTGGCAGAGATGTCAGTCTGTTCTGGCCAAGATACAGCTCCCTCAGTGAACTGACAGCATCACCGACCTCACTGTGATCAATGTGACTGATATTACAGTTACACAGGTCCAAAACCTGCAGGTGTGCATGCGACAAAAAAGCTGCCCAGGGAACCTGGTTGAACGTGGATCCTGAGTAGTTCAAGCAGCAAGTGTCACTGGGTACCTCAGATGGAAAGTGAGACAAAATGCTGGCAGATGGACACTCACATTCCTTACCGCTTCCTTCAGTCACATGCAGCATTTGGAGAAGCCAAAACCAGCATAAAAAGACCTGTCCTGTAACAAAAAAAACAAGGATTAGAAATAACTTCACACTTATCATATTTAAACAAGTGAAGTGTGGCATGATCATGAGTGGCACCAAATGGAATGACAAAACATTCATGAAAAAAAACCCTGAAACATCCATTTATTAAAACTATGTATTAAAACAGTTTTAGAACTGTACTAATGTTTACAAATCCTCATAACATACTGAACTAATAAGAAGATTTTATTGTATTATTATGTGTGCCATCACATTTACTTAGCGCATTTAAATAATTTGACCTTATAATGTTCTATGTGAAATCCTGGTTCCATTCAATTATTTTCAAAGAATTCTGTAATTTTATTTTCATTTTTAAATATAATTTAATCATTTTTACATTTTATTTCGTTTGCAGTGGGAAAGCTATTTTTTTATAAATTATTGTAATATAATTAATATAAATTTTTTATAAACATAAAATGATTATATATAATTAATATAATAATATGCATATAACTTATAATATACAATATATAAATAATATCTAATTTGTTATAATATATTAATCTTGTTTATTGGCTTTTATTTCAGCATCACTGCAGGTACTTAAGAACATTTGTCTTTAAGAAACACTGAATTATGGCCTCGTGGGCAGTGCGCCGACATGTAGCACCTTTGCGCTTTGGGCGTCCAGAGTTTGAGTCCCAGCTTGCGGACCTTTCCTGATTCCCCCCCCCTCTCTCTCTCTCTCTCTCTCTCACCCACTTCACTTCCTGTCGACCTACTGTTCTATCTAAATAAAAGGCATAAAACGCCAAAAAAAAAAAAGTACTAATCTAACATCTCACATTCTGTATTATGTGATTTCTAAAATTTGCATTAATTTTAAAGTCTACACATATAAGGGAATCTCCTGTATCTTGTAAATATACAATAAATATATAACACAATATTTATATATTTTTACTAAAATGTTGAAACTTTGAGAAGTGGTGAGGTTTAGGGTGGAGGACTCAAGAGGTTGTCAATTATATTGATACTGTCAATAACATTGAACGTTTCAATGTATATCAAAGATGATAAGAGATGCTGACAAGTCGGACCACTAAAACAAACACAAAGTGCTACACGGTCAACCAAGAAATGACTTACAGATTTCATGCTATCTGATTCTACATCTTAAGAGTGAAATATCACATGCACTCTTAATATATTCTCTCGCTTTCTGTTATGCTCGAGCTTGACCTCCAGGGATCTGCTCACTCAGGTTGAGCAGCATAGCAACATGGCTGGGGCTCTGCACTGTTGTCATTTGTGTGGGAGTTGGCATGGCGATGAGGTGAGTCGGGGCTCAGGAGTCCACACTTTACAGAGAAACATCTTATCTGGCAACCATGCAGCTCACGGTTGGTTGGGAACTGAACAATTATAGGCTATCACTCACATCCTTTGATGGCTGAGTAACTAAGTGCTTTGCTGTTCATGTGTAATACAATTTCTAAAGCTATGGAAACATAAATGTATGCACAGATTAGTGACGGTAATCACTGACTGCATGTACAACAATATATCCTTAAAAACTATTGATTATGTTCTACTTTTATTAGTAAAAACTACACTTTTAAACTACTGGTAAAAAAAAATGTATGATTAGTTTCACAAAAAGTGAATTCTTCTTCTGTTATCTTGAAGAGAACTTTGCTCCAATATCTTTTCCCCTGCTGTGCAGAGGACTGTACATGTTTTCGTTCCCCCGCAAGTATAGGCCTGGCATCAGACTTTCCTGATGTAAACAATGGGAGTGGAATGTGCAACCCCCCTGGCAACACAGTGACTATCCACATCAGGAATGAGTGATGAGGAACCAGGCCAATCCAGCCTTCCATTCAATACTGCTGAAACACTCATTTTAGTTCAGATATCATCAACTGCTATTTGTTTACCCAACACCGGCCTAAAGATTTTCTGTGTCACTGAAATTAAAAGGCTGTGTCATCTGCACCAGTGACGAACATCATAAATCTAGATTAATACAGAAAAACAACTAATACAAATTAACCATGCAATGAAGTAATAATAATAGGTAATGGAGTATCGCCGTTTTGAGATTTGATGTCCACACCTGCATTAAGTCCTTCATAATGTGCTCTAAATTCTTTATTTTAAACAATAGGTCTACCATTGGAAAGAAACAATATTGGCTTAAGTTCAACAAAACAATCACCTAAATTTTGATCTCTCTTACACGCAGACAGGTTTGTTTTTCAATCACGATGAAAAATTTTCTTCAACTTCTATTGTTTGATAATGAGCTAATGATATTTTCTATCCTGTAAGCCTAAACCGGACCATCACAGAAACCTTGACCCAAACAAACAACTAGATCCTTTCAGCTATGACTGTGTACTTTTTTTTTTTTAACTAAATATTAATAAAACAATTCCAGTCTTTGTGAGGAGAGAGGAGCTGAGGGTTTCAATCATTTATTATTTATAGATGTAACTGGACTAGTCCTGAAAACATTAGTTCGCTTAAAAAGAGAAAGTACTCAACATTTGGGCCCATAAAAATGAGATCTGTGGAATTTAGAAAAAAAAAACTTTTTTTTTTTTAAACCATGACAGTTATTTTGGCTGATTGAGTTATCCATAGCCTATATTGTGCAAGGAAGATCGATTCTTTGAGGTTAAAGTTACAATTGGAGCAAGGTTTGTTCCAACTAAACAGTCAGGAAAGGGGGGCATGTTATATGATATGCATACTAAATAAAAGTTTTTCTAATGGTTTAAAGCGATGGGTATGATCAAACCTATCCTATGATCTCACGGCAGAACAATGTGCACTGTTACACCCAGTTCCAGCAGTTTCCTCTCAGATAGCGGATCTTTTATTTTACTCGAGCGCAACTTCACAATGCGTCTGCTTAACAACATAAATAAACAATAAATCAATACAAAACACAGGTCGATTTTATGACTGCAACGCAGAAACGGTCATCTCTCTTCATGTACGAAGTTTTTTAACGAAGCAATTTTAAGTTTATTAAAATTCATACATTGGATGCAATCGTACCAGAGCAACAATAAAGTGTTAAAAGTGCAGCTTACCTTCAGGTGTCATTATTGTGAGCTGTTGGTGGAGCTGTCATTCATTCAGATCACCGCAACACTAAGCGCTTAGAGCAGCAGTACCATCGCTCTCTACTGTACAGTCTGTCTGTGTGTGTGTGTGTGTGTGAGCGCGCGCTGGGCGTGGCCTGATGGACACAACACCGGCTGGAATGTGGACATTCTGCGTCCTGTGTGTGTGATACAGAGGGAAAGTGTGTGAGTGAATACAGCGAGGGAAAGAAACTTACCTGGCAAGGCAGACCTCCTTCATTTACTTCATAGGCCTTCGGTGGGGTCTGATCCCCTAATGACTTGAATGTTAGGGACGGGAGACTCTTAAAACTGTATATTCATTTTACATAGGCCTATATATATATATATAGGATGTTAATTTCAACAGCATTTTTAAACAACGTTCCAGTTTCCCCAAAAGTTAGATAAAAGCCCACAAACCACTTTGCTACCGAACGCGCATAGCAACATTATGTAAATTGTGAGTATTTATCACTTTACTTGATTTTCCAATCGCAAATAGACTACATTTTTGTATATTTACCTTTTTAAGAGAGCTGACGTTTAGCTACTTGTTCACGACACTGAAATTTGTGTTTTTACTTGTATAGTGCTTTTCATAATCTTTGTTTCATAGCAACAGAAAATCGCGCTTAGCCTAATTGTTTTAAAGCCCCCAGTGAGCAAGTAAAGATATTAATCATTTTAAAAATCGCACCAAGAGCTGAAAAACAACTTAACAACTTAAGAATAATATAATAACAAGAGCTGGTTTTGAACCAAAAGTAAACCTAAACTATCGTTGGATTAGAAAAAAAAGGGACAAACTTTTCAGGCGTTATATTAGAGTTAACCACAAGATGGCAGCATTCTTCTAGTAGTAGTTTCTTCTTTTCGCCTGCAGACGATCATTTCAAGGTCAAAACACCTGGAAAAACCTGGACAGACAGATAAAAACAGTGGGATGCTCTTTTTTCTTAGATTTTCTCTAATTTAATTGAGAAAGAAGGCAAAATGGTACATCATATGATGTGATACTAACATCACATATTATGAGACAGAATATAATGCTTAAATACAAAACAAAGAAATGTCATGTTACCAACTCAATGTAAATAGCATCTCTCCTCAACATTCTCGGTGCACACTCAAAGAGAAAATTACAGTGTCTATTTAACACCAAAACATAAGGCTGTAACAACATCATCATCATCAGTGCCCGATCTGAGGAGTTTCTCTGATTTTTGATGCACTGCTCGAGGAATCTCTCAGAGGACATTGCCTCGCACAGCTTTCTTTAAAGAGTCTTCATTCAGAGCTGCACTTCCTCAAAGGCCCATGCTTTCATGTCGTTCCTGCGCTGCTGCTCTCAGGTGCAGTGGACCAAAGGTGTGTCTCAAGTCTACAGAGAGCAGATCTGATTGAGGCAGCGCTCATAGATCCCAACTGGAACGGGACAGGGATGGGGGCAATTCCCACTCCCCCCAGACTGTATGTCCTGGGATAGGCTGTAGCCTGCCAACAAAGAGAAAGATTGCAGAATTGAACCAGAGATAGACGCAAAGAGCTGACTGACATAAGCTGACACTTACCAGAGGAGTTCATACACGTAAAAGGAAATCCATTTTGGTCAAAATTATGCAGATCATCTCTTCCATTGCTGGAAATCTGCTCAACTCGATTAAAAGTGGCCTGAAAAACTAGACAGACACAGAAAATACAGAATTAGCTAAACACATTTTATTGCTCTTTGATACTTCATATTAATTTATTAGTTAATATTCCCACAATAAAAAAAGAACAAACATCTTTTTAAAATTAAATCCCCTCAATATTTAATTAAAGGATTTATGGAGCATCCAAAAAAATTCACATTTTGTTTACAAACTTTTTTCCTGCTTAGACCCAGTTAACATGCACATGGATCAGATTAAATGATCTAATTTAGTGGTTTTCGAGCTGTCGTCGAACACTGATTTAACAGAGCCAGATTTAAATCATTACCACTTGTTATTATAAACTAACCACGTAGACAATGGGAAACAAGCAAATGCAACTATAAATCTTTAACAGCAACAATGAGCCTCTTCATGAAATGCTCTGTTCCTGTAAATGAAGGCCTTCCTGAAACAGGCTGTAAAATCAGTTGAAGGAGGTATTTGTCCCAGACTTACTTTGCTGACTAACGCTGCTGCGTGTTTGTAAAGTTAATGCATATTCCAGCATTAGTGCCAACAATTTGTCAGTTTGCGGAAATATTGGGAGTATAAAGCAGCAGAGTGAAGAATGCCTTGCGCCATTTCTGTAACATTTATGAAGGTAATACAGAATAGCTTTCTTACCGTGGTGATTTATTGCTACTTCATGAAACATCTGGTTGAGTTTTTGATGTGGGTTTGGGAAGGAGCTGTGCTTGTCAGAGACAGACTGGACCTCATTGGTACCACTGACCAGGTTGATTCCACAAACCAGTGGAGAAATTCTGAAATAACCCAGCAGTTGCTTTTAAATTCAAGCATTCATGTCCATAATCATACACTAAACTTCCCATAAATTATTTTTTGAATGGCCTTTAATGTTCTACAACAATTTATAAAATTATAAAGCTATTTATTTATTTATTTAGAGGACCTATCTATCTATCTATCTATCTATCTATCTATCTATCTATCTTCTTCAAATGTTTTTTTTTTACAACCATTTATTTATTTTTATTTATTTAGAGAATTAAATCACACCCATATTTATAGATCAAATATATTATATCAAGACTTAAAATGTATTTATTTTATTACATTTTTTACAACCATTTATTTATTTTTATTTATTTAGAGAATTGAATCACATCAATATTTATAGATCAAATATATTATATCAAGAATATATATTTTTATAATAAATCATTTTTTTTCTATTTATTTACATTTTTTACTACATTCTATTCTATACTATACTATTCTATTCATTCTAGTGCATGTCAAATTCAGCCAAGATTCAAGAACTGCTAAAATGATTAAGTAAAAACCTCAGAAAAGATCGCCTCACACAACACAAGAACAAACGGTTCACATACAAACTGTACCTAAAAATTTTGATCATGACTAATATATTACTCCAACTATGTAGAGATCAGTAACCAATGAAAGAATGGTACTATTGGTAAGTCATTCCTCTAGAGAGCCCAGCATAGGCTGTAACTCAGAGGGACTCACAGCTAGCCAGCAATGAAGCATCATGATGCACTTTATGTGGAGCACAGTGTTCATTTAAATGATGTGGTCCCTTACAGAGAGGCCCGAGGGTGTTCAGCCCTTTTGTGTTATTCATCAGCATTGCAGGTGCTTTTGTCAATATAACTCACATCTGCTTAAACAGAGCTACATCCCAGTGAAAACTAACCAGTCATTATTAGACATTCAGAGAAAAATAGTTGTCTTTAAAATTAGGACAATTCTTCAACAAAATTGTATCACCTCCTCTAATTGAAATATTGTGCTATGGTGTAGATACCCTACAGTGTGAACAAGAGATATAAGTAAATTGAGAAAAGCATTCATTCATTTATTAAACATCTCAGAGAAAAGGAAGGAAACCTAAGAAAACTTAGAAATATGAAAATATGGAACAGCTACAACATTTCATTACACATTCAATATACAATATATGCACAACATTGGTAATATAAATGACATGATACTGCTGATGAGTTGTGGTACTCCAAAAATATAATTTTACATCTGCACTTTGTTTAACATTTATAGAACCATAATATAATTTTTTTATCCAGTGTTTTTATATCAAATTTACATATTTCAGGACATATATTTCCATTTGTTAAAGGTATTTTTTTAGGTATTTTATGGGTTTGTCCATATGTGTAATAATTATTAAGGAATTATTATTATTAAATTTTTGTTTCATTATATTTCATTAAATTATAATGCTATTTTGTTTATGTTAATGGTAATACTGTTATTTTGTAATCTTTTTTTTTTCATTACATTTCATTATGTTATTTTGTTTATGTTAATGGTAATACTGTTATTTTGTAATCTTGTAATTTTTTGTTTTAGTTGATTTTATTACATTTTATTTATTTATTTTTATCTATCTAATTTATCTTACTGCTCTTATTCATTTAATGATTTTGACATTTCCGTAACTCCAACTGACCCATATTATCAGTGATATTAGCAACAAAGGTTTTTTTTTACTTTTTAAGCGGGGGGGGGTTGGTTGGTTGGGTGTTGGCAGTTGTTTTTTTCTTTGTCTAATTGACAGGTTTTTTTCTTATGTCTTTTAATTGGCTACGAAATTAAATGCACTGATTAAGATAATCTGTATTCTGTAATATTTTATCCTATATTTTACAAATTGTCAATTTTATGATTTGTTTATATACTACACTTTTTATTTATTTATTTATTTTTATCACAAGGCAGAAAATATATGGTTTAGTTTCTATAGGCTACTGGAATAAATGCTATGTCAGTTAGCACTGCATCATTCAAATTTACATTTACATTTAGTCATTTAGCAGACGCTTTTATCCAAAGTGACTTACAAATGAGGACAATAGAAGCAATCAAAACTACAATATGTAAGTGCGAATGACAAGTCTCGGTTAGCCTAACGCAGTACATGTAGCAAGGTATATATATATATATATATATATATATATATAATAAAAAGAAAAATAGAAGATAGTATTGCAAATTGATGAACAGAGGTGGGACATGCGTTTTTTTCGGCTCATTAAAGATTAATCTCACAGCGGCATTTTGGATTAATTGTAGAGGTTTGATAGAAGTGGCTGGAAGACCTGCCAAAAGAGCATTACAATAGTCCAGCCTGGACAGAACAAGAGCTTGAACAAGGAGTTGTGAAGCATGTTCCGAAAGAAGGGACCTGATCTTCTTGATGTTGAATAAAGCAAATCTGCAGGACCGGGTTTCTAGCTGTTTCTGAAGGAGTTATGGTTGATGAGCCTAACTGGATGGTGAAATTTTGATAAAGTGATGGGTTTGTTGAAACCACAAGCAGTTCTGTCTTAGCCGGGTTGAGTTGAAGGTGATGGTCCGTCCATCCAACAAGAAATGTCTGTTATACATGCTGAGATGCGAGCAGCTATCTTCGGATCATCAGGATGGAATGAGAGGTAGAGTTGAGTGTCATCAGCATAGCAGTGATATGAAAAGCCATGTTTCTGAATGACAGAACCTAGTGATGCCATGTAGACAGAGAAGAGAAGTGGTCCAAGAACTGAGCCCTGAGGCACCCCAGTAGCTAGATGTTGCAACTTGGACACCTCACTTCTCCAAGATACCTTGAAGGACCTGTCTGAGAGGTAAGAATCAAACCACTGGCGTGCGGTTCCTGAGATGCCATTTTCCAATAGGGTTGACAGGAGAATCTGGTGGTTCACCGTATCAAAAGCAGTGGACAGATCCAGCAAGATAAGTATAGAAGATCTGTAAGCCGCTCTTGCCAGTCTTAGCGCTTCAACAACTGAGAGCAAGGCAGTCTCGGTCGAATGTCCACTTCTGAAGCCAGATTGGTTGCTGTGCAGGAGGTTGTTCTGTTTGAGAAAGTCAGAGACTTGGTTGAACACAACTCGTTCAAGTGTTTTTGCAATGAAGGTAGAAGGGAAACTGATCTGTTGCCTCAGAGAGTGGAGTGAAGGATGAAAACGAGTGTATGTTTGCAGGTAAGATGTGTTTGACAGTTTGTGGTGTGACAAATTGTGCACTGAGGTTTGTAATTTTATTAATGAAGAATGACGGTTTGTGGTGTGACAAATTGTGCACCGAGGTTTGTAATTTTATTAATGAAGAATGTGGCAAAGTCGTGGACAAAGGAGGGAGGAAAATGTTTTAATGAGCATGCGAGAGTTAGGCGAATTGTTAATTTTGTTGTGATAGTATGTCCTATACTTTGCTTATTACCTGAAAATTACTTGAAAAACAGATAAACCATAAACCGAGTATGAATGAAACATACACTGCATGAGAGTGTTTAGCGCTCCGTAATGTTCACATCTCCTCATTTCAGATACGAATAAAACACCAGGTCATGCATAGACTTTTTTTTTGTTAAATTTACATTAATTTCTTTTTTCGCCAGAGCACCATCCAAGTCTTCTCCTCCCATTTCGCTCGATTCCCACGTCTGCTACCTGCGCAGATATCAACAGAGCAACTGGGTTTCAGGTTGCCAGGTTGAGGTCACAAATGGGTTGAAATTTGTATGATGTAACGATTGTGTGAGTAGGATGCATTTCATACAAGATCTGGCAACTGGACAACCTTGGGATAATATATTCATGTGATCATTCATATAATGAGGTTTGGGCCACGCAAATTACGGGAGTTTCGCAGGGAGAAATAACAAAACGGGAGGGGTGCGGGAGATTGGCGTGAAATACGGGAGACTCCCGGGAAAAACAGGAGTGTTGACAGGTATGGCTGTGTCCTATCACAGGGCTTCACAGCATAAGTGAGGCAGATAAATGCTCTGTGTGTGTGTGTGTGTGTGTGCGTGCGTGTGCGTGTGTGTGTGTGTGTGTGTGTGTGTGGGAGCCCTGCAGCGCTGCCATGTGTGTGGAGCAGAGGGCTGTATCCCAATTGAGCGGCTGTCAGCACAAAACTCAGAAAACAGCTCCACTCTTCATATTTTTACAGCAAGCCTCTCTATACACACTAATCGCAGCCAGCTGCCCGTACGCACCCTTAGGCTGGAATGAGAGGAATCTTTCATGCAGCGTTTAAAAATCCCAATTTACCCATCACACTGATCCTCCTCTTGGTTGACAGCGTGTTATTTTCGGCTAGCACACTGCAGTGAAAGACCTGCTTAAAGATGTTTGGGTAAGGTATCCTGTCATGTTTGAGGAGCTCATTAAATATGTGAATGAAATGACTCAACTTTACAGGGCAGGAACTTTCATCTTGGAAAAGATTTTATGGATCCAACAGTCCTCCTTTTAAACTCACAGGTGAACGAAAAGTTATTACTACTACCAAACACTGTATCGACTACTAAAGGAGCTCTAAAATCACTCTAATGCATCAAGTCATCATACTTCTTTAAAAACAGCAGGTACACAAATGTTTAAGTGAACTGGGCAGGAAAAATATATTGCCAAATTGCCAATGATCATTTTTAGATTTAGATTAAATACTTGTCCATGAGCATTTTTAGATTTATGAACATCAATATTTTAGGTTACATTTAAGATTTAATGGTCCATAAGCATTTTTACATTTATAAACATCAATATGTAATATTAAAAAGGTTAAATATAGGGTTACTTCTTGAAAGAAGTTTTTTATTACTTCATAAAGAAGCTTTATATATGATTAAAAATACAGTAAAAACAGTAATATTGTGAAAATTACTACTGTTTTCTATTTAAATATATAGTATTTTAAACTGTAAATCATTCCTGTGATGGCAAAGCTGAATTTTCAACAGCCATTACTCCGGTGTCTTAACATTTCTTATTATTTATCAATGTTGAAAACAGTTGTGCTGCTTAATATATTTGCAAAAACTGTGATACATTTTTTTGAAATAGAATACATTTATTTGAAATAGAAATCTTTTGTAACATTGTAAATGTTTGACTGTCAATTTAATGTGTTCTTGCTAAATAAAACTTTTTAAAAATGAAATAAATACTTCTTTAAAATAATCTTGCTGAACCCAAGCTAATGCATGGTAGTGTATAACTTTGTTAGTTTTCAATAGTTCATTTTAAGTGGTGATTATAATGCACACATTTACACAAAAATGAACCGCAAATCACTCAAAATCTCACATTTCATAACAGGGATTTGAAATAACAACAATACTCAGTAAGCAAAGTCTCCTAGATGCTTACTTTCTGCCAAACGAAACAAATTTTGCAATGGGATCAGATTCTGATGGCAGGAGTTAGGAAAGACAATTTAGTTATAAAATGTATAATATCATTTAAAACCCAGTTGGGGAAAAATCTAGCTTTCTGTTGTGGGACCAGAAACCTAAGCCTTCAGTGTTTCTGTCTCACAGTCAAGCGCAGGATAGCTGGCAACCGAGAGTGTGCATGAAGTGTTAAGTAGGTTCTGGTGATATTTTTTGTTATTTGATAAAACACATTTCCTGTTTACAGCCACAGAGCGTGCTGCACTGTTTTTTTTTTTTTGTCACATCACCTCAAGAGTAATTGTTGTTTACACAAAGCGAGTCATGGCATGTGTTTCTTTTCCGGACGCGTCTGGATAAGCAAACGTTCAGAAACAAACATTGCCTGTTTGTGGTGAGTGACAGCATAACAATACCCTTCTTTAACAACAGCAATAAAAAAAAATGAAATAATGAAAAGAATCATTACAGCCATTCCTAAGAACTGAATTTTAGTGACCACAACAGTGACCACAATCGCAAAAAAAAAAATCCCTATGATCTCTGAATTGTCCATATGGTATAAGATTGTACAAACATCTTAATGCAAGACATCCAGATCAGATCAAATCCCCACACAATCGGCACATATTTGCGTGACAGCGCAACAGTAACACTGAGAGAACGGGTCATGGGTTAACTGTGTGCTGTAAAAAGACCCATGCGAATGCATAATAATAATATTTTTCTACTGAAGAAACACGTGTTGCCACACTTCATAATGTCTTTGTTCTCAGGGCAGGGACGATTTGCTCCCATCGCATCGGCTGTGCTGTTTTAATGTTTCACATCATAAGCACATGATGCGAACTGCTGTGGTTGACGCACATATATGCACCGCAGATGGAGTCCTTCAGTCAGTGACAAATAGCCAATTAGACTCACATAAAATTGCTCCCATATGTATCAAATAAGCAAACTAGATGTTTCCATGCTGTATGTTTGCTAAAATGTATATTCGACGTTCTATATCTGGTCAATATGAGAAAAAAAATGTGACATTTGAAACTAAAGTTCACTACCATCCCAATACAAAACAGTGCATTTAATAAAGTCATTATTTTTGTTTTCTTTGCGCACAAAAAGTATTCTCGAAGCTTCGTAAAATTACAATTGAACCACTGAGGTCACATGGACTATTTTAACGATGTCCTTGCTATGTTTCTGGGCCTGGGAACATTTCAGTTGCATTGCTGTCTATGCAGGGTCAGAAAGCTCTTAGATTTCTTAAAAATATCTTACATTGTGTTCCAAAGATTAACAAAGGACTTACGGGTTTGGAACGACATGAAGGTACGTAATTAATGACAGAATTTTCATTTTTGGGTGAACTATCCCTTTAAATACATGGGCATCTCTTTTCTCACAAAAGCAGTGAGAATTTACTGTACAGTATATATGAATCCTTGCTTCATGTTTCATACTATCCTTGGGGTTAACAATTAATCTTAACAAGCTAACAAGTTTTTCCTGAATTTGACCTTTCGGACTATAAAGGCCGGAATGAAACAGTCTCTTTTTCACTCCAGCTGACGAGGTTCCCAGCTGACTTTTTTCCCCTCAGATGATGAAACGACTGTTTATACAACACGCTTTGTTTCTGTGACTGTCCAAAGCATGTGAATATGAGGCACACGATTGAGTGTCTGTTGCTAAGCATCGAGACCGCATAATTTCACACTGTACAAGTTTGGCACCACAATGAGTGGTTAACGCCACAAAAGCGGTACTAACCGGAGCAGGGCTTTAAAGCCCAGGTGAAAAGCACTTATCTAAATTACGTTTGTTTACCTGGGGTTAAAAGCTGGGTTTGGAATGACAATAACGCTGGTATTTAATAATCAGCGCTGGGTAGTAACTGATTACATGTCATCTGGATTACATAATCAGATTCGAAAAATTAAGTACTTGTAAAATGCTCATAATCAGATTACAGTTACTTTTTTGTGGATTACGTGATTACATATTATTCACACAATGGCAGTAAATTCTTTATAATTCATTGATCATCCCTAATTATTATTTTTTTCTCTTTTAAAGTCTCCTTTTTAAAAATCCTACTGTATGTCATACCATTTAGCTTTGACTATATTCTCAATATGGATTGGTCATGTAAATGTCATATAAATAACTTTGCCATACATCCTTTGAAATTTGGGGGAAAAAACTATGTATGAAATAAATAATTATGAAATGTATGAATGGTAAATTAGATTTTTTTAAAAAGTAATCTAAAAAGTAGTCTGAATACATTACCTAAAATGAGTAACCTAGATTACGTTACTACAATTTTTATCATGTAATCTGTAATTAGTAACGGCTTACAATTTGTAAGTAATCTACCCAGCATTGCATTAAGCGCGGTGTGAAAAGCCCTATACAGTATTATGATGTTCCTGGTCATATATTGTGATGCATACACTGACAGACTGCTGATTCTCACCTTGGCTGATTGAGCTTGTTGTTGTGCAGATGGTTGTGGAGGCTGATGCTGCTGTGCTCCATGCTGCAGTGTCTGCTGGGATGCTCCAGAGATAAGGCTCTGCTACAGGATTCATCTTCCTCAGGGTATGCTGTAAATCCGCAGGAAAAAAAGAATTACGGTACATCACAGTTACTTCTCCTAGACAGCAATGCATTAAATGGAAAGCAAATGGATACTTTGATTAAGTCTCTTGCAATCAAGTATAAGATTTCAATATAAACTCAAACAACATTGACGGCAACAGGAAATGTTGGTAACACTTTACACTAAGATTCTATTTGTTAACATTAGTTAGATGCATTAGTTAACATGGCAAAAATACTTTGGAAAAATGCATTAATCTTACTTAATGTTATTTTCAACATTTACTAATATACATTATTAAAACCAAATGTATCAGTTAACATTATTTCTTGGACCTAAGCAAACATGAACAATGAACAGTTGTATTTTTATAACTGACACTAACAAGGATGAATGAATATTGCAACAAATATTACTCATTGTTAATTAATGTTAGTTAATGCATGAACTAATGGTACCTAATGGGATTTTCTTGTAAAGTGTTACCAAAAGTACCAGACTGGAGTAATGGCTGCTGAAAAATTAGCTTTACCATCACAAGAATAAATTGCATTTTAAAATATATTAAAATAGAAAAACAACAAATTAAATTTGAATAACATTTCACAATATTATTGTTTTTTTATCAGATAAATCTTCCAGATAAAGCCTCACTAAAGACTTCTTTCCAAAACATAAAAAAAAATGTTATGAATGGTACTGTTCATCTAAGATCAAGTTATCTAAGCCATGCTATACAAATTAATTTGATATTTCTATATTGTTTAATTTGTTGCAGTCTACTAAGGGATTTTAGGAGATGATGAAACATACCAAAAACTTCAATATGTTTCCAAAAAGTAAGAACAACATTTTGCATGAGAGCATATCCAGTCATATAATATTTATTGTGTACTTTAAAACACATATCACATGATGTTTTGTAAAACTGTGTAAAGTCTTGCTCATTCTTATAATCTGGGCTCACTGAGAGAATTACAACCTGTTAATGCGCTTTTAAATGTTAAAACCGAACAAGAAGTGAATGTCATAACATTTCTGTTTAATTGCTCTTATTCTTCCTGATTGATCAAGGTCAGAATGAATAATGCTTTCAGTTTGGCTTGCTGATGTTAAACATCTCTCATAGTTATTCTTCACTTGAAACACATAGTTGTTTCTTTCTTTTTCGTCAGAATCAGACGACTGAAATATCTGTGGCTTCTGTCTGCCTTCCACATCTCTTCGAAAAATCGTGAGCAGTCTAAGACAATTAGTGCGGACTGCCCTCATGGATTTTCACTTCAGGTGTTGACTAAAGGAGCCCTGCGCTGTCTGACAGCTTCTTGACTCAGTCTCAAGCATCTGAAGGAAAAGCGGCTGGAATGGAAAAGATTCTGGAGTGTTAGAGACATGCGTGGGGTGGCCGCTTGCCCACGGTGGGTGCCCAGTGACTGCGCAAACACTGCTCTTTTGAGCTCGTCGGAACAGCTGATGTCAGAAATAGTGCGTAGTGTAAATGATGGGTATAGGGAAATGAGGAAGGGAGTGGACAGGGCTCACTGGTCTGAGCACATTCTCCCCTGGACACATCCGTAATGCTAAATGGCATGCACATATAAACAATTTTTTTTCTCTGCACTGGTTAAAAATGGATAGTGGCTGGAATCATACAGACTGCTTGTGTGCAGGGTTGTACAATGTCATCTTTCACTAGCACTAGTTCCTTTAAACTACCGTTTAAAACTTTGGGGTCAGTATGATTTTTTTTTTGGAAGAAATCAATACTTGTATTCAGCAAAAACGCATTAAAGCGATCAAAATCCAGTAAAGACATTTATAATGTTACAGAAGATTTCTTTTTCAAATAAATTATATTCAACAAAGAATTTTAAATTGTAATATTTCATAATTCCATTTTTTACAGCATTTTGATCAAATAAATGCAGCCTGGGTGAGCATAAAATATTTCTTTCAAAAACATTACAAAATATTACTGACTCTATACTTTTGAAGAGTAGTGTATCTCATTACATACTTTATATTACATACTCATACATACTTTCAGGTGTTTTTTAATCCATAATTAATTTACACTTTAATGCTAATTTACGGTTATTTCTTAACAGAGAATCCCACCTGTAAACTTTTGCATTGTACTGCATATTACACTATCTTTAGCTTAACTATCATGACTAAAATTATGTTTAGTTTTATGCTGAGCTAGAAATACATTACAAATAGATTTGATTTTTGTGTTTTGATAAAATTTATATTTTATTTCTTTTAATTAAAATTTTAATTACACTTTTTGTTCTGATTCATTTTAGAGGTTAAATTATCTGTAAATATTCAAATTATAAAATTACAATTATAACAAAAAAAAAAAAAAAAAAATTGTCAAATGTTGAAAATTCGAAAACTCAAACAAATTGTACAAAAACTAGACCAAAATGTAAAGTTCTGTGTTTCACATCAATGCTCAAACTTAGAATTTTGGCCAAAAAATTGTGTCAGAGAATTGTAGTACAACAAACACAATAAAAAAAAATAATAAAATAATCCATAAAAAATAAATTGTATTAAATGCCACACGTCTAAAATTCAAAAGGTGCAAATTCTTTTTCAAAGTCTTTTTTGTCCTTTTTCCAGAAACATATTAAGACAACAAACAAAACATAGGGCCTTCTGCAAAATATATGTATTTTACAAGCTGAAAAGACCAGCTAAGACCAGCATGAATGTCCAACCAGATGCTGGAGTCTTTCTGAGAAAAGCTGTCAAGAGGATGCCAGGACCATCATCAAAAACACAACATGCTGGTCATTTCTATCTGGCACGCTTTGCTTCCTTCAGTTTTACAGCAGGCAAAATGTCTTGCAGGCCTTCCAAAGTCAAAAGCCCAACTCAGGATAGACCATAAGCTATACACCTACCAGTAAAACCCTCCTGATGAATCTCACTGAGGGAGGCAGGACGCCTATGGTCTGGACTCTGTATTGAAGGAGCGGAGCCATGGAGATACTGCAAGTCAAGGCACACATCCACAACTTCCTGCTCCACCTTATTGTGTAGCTGGACCTGTCAAGATACAGAAAACATATGCATAAAATATACAGCACTGATTTCCTACTCTGATAAAGCAGACATACCATAACACAATAACTAGACATCAAAATCGGATAATTTAGACTATAATCTGTGACAGATGGATTTGGCCAAAAGGCAAAAACAGAAAATAGTGTGAAAAATGATATAAAATCAATGAAATTCAACTAAAAGAAATGTGAAGCCTTTTTCTCAGTTCCAATGTGGGCGCTTTTACTGCATTTTGCCTTTGTAGAAAAGTACTGCAAGGATGTACCACTTGACTGTGAGAGCGGCAAAATCTTACTGAGGCTGAAACAACTTTCTGTTGTTGATACATTTGAGCATTCAGTGGAGCTGCTGAGCATGTTTGCTATTTGCATGTCACATCTGGCCTCTTGAGGAATAGCGCTGCACTGCTTATTAACTGTATTATGGGAACACGTGTTCTTGCTTAGAAGGCCAAACCCATGGGAATACACAAAGATCTCCTTCATTCTCCTTTGTTTGGAAAGCAGGAACAGCCCATAAAACAATAGACCTTTTCATCAAAGATCTCTGGGATGAAGATTACTGATGAAGTTAATGCATTAAACGATGTGACTTCATTTATCAGGTCATTAAGATCATCTAATTAGTTGCATGTTGCGTGTGCATGTATTTTTGTTTTAGGTTATTAAGTTATCGAATGAGGCTGTTGTTGTAAGAGTCTCTTGATACAAAACTAACAAACACTTGAAATTGTTACCTTGTCCTGTGCCTGCAGGGCTTTACTGGAGTGGACCTTGACGTGCTTGCGCAATGAGCTGGGGTCGGTGTAACGTTTGGTGCACCCTGGGAGCTGACATGCATACGGTTTCTACATAAAATAATGAAGCAAGAGGCACAGCAGAAGAGACAAAGGTAAATTAGTCATTCAAATGTGTAATGATCAATGAACTGAGGAAGAAAGTACATATAATGTATACATTTATATATTTATAAATAAATATCATTACATTTTTTGAGGGTGGTCAAATCCAATGACATTTTACATTATGAACTAACTTTGCCTTGTCATAAGGAGGCCAAATTATCTGATATATTAAAGAGACTTACTGATCTTGACATACAGTTATAATGGTCTGCAGGGGTCCACTCTATGATATAATTTCATTTTATTTCGTCTATGATATATCGTTTTATGTATATATGCTTTTTTCTGCATTTTGGTTGCATCATATGACTTTGATTCAATTAAAAGAATTCAAATATTAATATTTTAACAAAAAAACTGCTTCTCTGCTTTAAACAAACAAAAATAAATAAGTAGGTAAGTAAGTAAATAAATACTAGAAAAAATATACCAATGTTCAAAGGTTAGTGGCCAATAAGATTTTTTGCTGAAAGAAGTTAATACTTTTATTAAGCAAGGATACATTAAATTGAGACATTTATAATGTTACAAAAGACTTCTGTTTCAAATAAATGTATCATTTAAAAAAAAATTATCATGGACTCCACAAAAACAGTAAGCAGTGCAACCGTTTTCAACATTGATAATAATGTTTCTTGAGCACCAAATCAGCATATTTGAATGATTTCTAAATAATTATGTGATACTGAAGACTGGAGTGATGACTGCTGAACAGATTAAAACATAAAACAGTCATTTTAATATTTTACAATATTACTGTTTTTAAAAAAAACATTACAAAATTATCTTTATTTATTATATTAACAGTTGTAGCACTTGTTTTTTTTTTTTTTTACTTTATGCAGCAAATTTAGTATCAAAATATATGAAAGAAATACTTTTTCTACACTCTTTCAAAAGTATAGGACAGTTCATGACTTTTCTCCAAAAAAACAAACAAAAAAAAAGGTTTTCAGATGCTCCACACGGCTACATAAAACAAATCCTCCACAGGACATTACACAGGTGCAGAGCGATACACACACAGAAAGATTCAGTAAATATTATGAAATCGCCGCATCTGTCCACTTCAAATATTAACCGCACATGTCACCCCCAGCTACACAAATTCTTAAAACAGCACTGACTAATCAATAATGTCGTGTCTCTAGAAATGCACTTCTTACGTCATACATTTCAGCTGTGCTAGAGAGTGCGATGGAGGGTGCGAAGGAAAAGTAAATGCTTTGCTGGATAACATTCCCAAAGTCTGCATTAATAACACGGAGTGACATAATTATAACAGCTCTGAACAATCACTTCCATAGATGTGCTCCACTCATCTACGTGACGAATTATGACATTTGCACGGTTATTACGCAATTAGAAGTGCGACGTCTGCCATCAGAAGCTTACTGACCGCAGCGAACGAAACCACCCTGCTTTGAATAAATCAGCTCTGTTGACTTAAGTGTTCTGAGGAAACCGATATCACTCGCAGGCTGGTTGTTACACAGCTTTACAGGCTGGCATGAGAGCCGCAGTGGGAGAGAGATGTGCAGCCAGAGCTGGTAGTCGCTGAAGTGGCTCTCTTTTTTTCTTAAGCCGTTAAAAGTGAAAGGAGATCTCACCAGTGTTCCAGACTATAATTCCTTACTCTGAATTTAGTGTAAATAAAACCCTGTTATTACGACTACTTCGTCTGGAAAAAGTGACAAGTAAGCTTCCCTCGCTTGTTTGTTTTCATTAGTGGTGTACACCTTTCGCAGACTGGGTATAAGTGTAAATTCACAGCTATATATACAGTGGGGTCCAAGAACCACTAGTAAAAAATAAATGCATATTTTGCATATTTATAATTAGTTAAAGGAACTTTTAAAATGTCTTTGTGTAATTAGTGACCTAAAATGGAGAAAAGTAAACTAAATAAATGTGCGCATATAAATATGTATTTTCTTCTGAGACTTTTGGATCCAACTGTACAATTTTCCGCAGTGCATTTTTAATGTGTTTTTGTGTTTACACCTGATAAGAGTCATAAGAATGGTCATACCGTGTCCAGGTGTGTGCGCTGGTGTTTGGCTCGATCACTGGAGTTGCTGAAGGCCTTGAGACAGCCGGGATGCTGGCAAATGTAGGGTTTCTCTCCGGTGTGGCTACGTAGGTGGATCTTCAGGTTCTCCAGACGGGAAAATGCCTTATTGCAGCCTTCAAACTACAAGAAAACACCCAAGCATATGTGCATATGAGGGAAAAAGCCAAAAATCTCCAGGTTCTTCATTGTAAGTGCATGTACATATGCATGCAAATTATGACATGCTTTAGTGGAAGAGAGTACAGCATGCTTTGTATGTAAGCAGGGATTAATATGTGCAATTGCAATTGATTAGAAGATATGAAACACAAGACTGAAGGTTTTTTTTACTTACTGCCATTCAATCTCCTCAAAAAACGAAAAAAACAACAACTAGAAGACGTCTTGTCTGATAACAAGTTATGCTTGATAGACAAGTAAGAAAGTGGTGGCATGAAATGTTTTCCATGGGTCTTTTTTAAAGCTCAAAATGATACCAGTTTTGGAACAGGAAATGTTTTTGCCACAGTGACAGTTATGTAACGCAAAGATGTTCAAAACAGAATTTTCTTAAAATGAACAGACGTTCATCCAAAAAATGAAAATCTTGCCATCAATTACTCACCCTCATGTTGTTACAAACTCATATGACATTCTTTCTTCCATAGAACACAAAAGGAGAACCTCTGAAGAATGTTCAAGCTGCTTCATACTGTACAATGAAAGTGGATGGGGACCAGGGGCCATCAAGCTCAAAAGTGACAAAAAAGCACCATAACAGCATCATAAATAATGTCCATGCACTATACTCAAAGTTACTTCTGAAAAGATGAACACTCAAGTTATTATTCATTCAAAATCTTGCATGACAGCTGAGCGGTGGTCAACTTTCACTTTCATTGTATGGAAAACAGCAGATTGTATGTTCAGTTATCATTAATTGCTTTTGGAGTAAAAAGAAAGTCATACAGGTTTTGAAAGACGTGAAGGCAAGTAAGCTCAAAATGATGTCGGGAAATTATAGCTATTAAGCCACACAAAAGTGTTATGCTCCTATAGTTGTAAATGACTATAAATGCTATCTATTCATGTTGTCAATTCATGCACATTTATCCGCACACAGACACACATGCCACTCTACGAAGTTTATTAAGCAGACATGTTCAAAGCTGGTTCCTGTTAGAACAAGGCTCTGCTAAGATGTTTGAGTTGGAGAGAGGCCAGCGAGGGAGTCAGTAATAAGCCCAGCTGATTCAAGGTGGCAGCCGCAGTCATGCAGACTTTTGGTTGGAGCGATTCTGCAAAATTATAAAACACATTTTGGCGGTCACAGGTGTGATGTCATGATGAGGTTATATGGAAAATTAATAGGGTTTCATTGAGCATCTTTACATTTATGCATTTATGACTATAAAAATTTAATTAAGTTGATGTTTCGATTTTTTATTAATTTAGCAGACACATTTACCCAAATCAAATACACTTTCGGTGAAGTACACTTACAAATGGGTTATGAATGTGAATAAAAATAAATAAATAAAAAACAACAACCATCTCAAGTGTGTTAAAGCTGACAATTTCTGCATTCTGTATACTCTTAAGATTTAAAATATGTTTAAAATTGATAACAATTTATAAAAAACATTAATGGTTTTAATCTTAATAGCCGTGCTGTTTACATTAAAAATCACAATGTTACAAATTATGATCGAACTACTAATCTAACTACATTTATTTGTAAAAATCTATTATCGTTCAGGACAAAATGCTTCCCAAATGATAGTCCTCTGGCCACCACAGTTTAAAGAGAAAAGGAAAACAAAAAGAATAACAGCAAATAGATGAAATAATATCCCATGGCTATCTTGCATCATTAAAAAGAAACACATTTCCTACGCGGCTCACGGTGAAGGAAATGAAACACAGCTTCATCAAAGTATTAAATTATTATAGGTTTAGGACACTGCTTACAATAATATCTTTGAGCGTGACCGTATCCATCTATTATATTCTATGTAATATACACTGAACAAAATTATAAACGCAACACTTTTGTTTTTGCCCCCATTTTTCATGAGCTGAACTCAAAGATCCTCTATGCGAAGGAGATGTGTTGCACTGCGTGGTGCAAATGGTGGTCCCACCAGATACTGACTTGTTTTCAGACCCCCCCGGACCCCCCAATACAGTAAAACTGCACATTTTAGAGTGGCCTTTTATTGTGGCCAGCCTAAGGCACACCTGTACAATAATCATGCTGTCTAATCAGCATCTTGATATGCCACACCTGTGAGGTGGATGGATTATCTCGGCAAAGGAGAAGTGCTCACTAAGACAGATTTAGACAGATTTGTGAACAATATTTGAGAGAAATAGGCCGTTTGTGTACATAGAAAAAGTCTTAGATCTTTGAGTTCAGCTCATGAAAAATGGGGGCAAAAACAAAAGTGTTGCGTTTATAATTTTGTTCAGTGTATATCTTTGCAAATCTGAAAAATAAGAGATGAAACAAGTTCTGGTTATGATTATTCAATATAAGGTAAAAGAATGAGAGAACATTTTGCAGTTCCCTCGCACTGCATGAGGGCACTTACAAGTGTCATTGTTGAATACCTAAAAAACAATCAGGCAATGAATATTATAAAAGCTTAATCTAAAAATCCTTCTTCAAAGTTGTCCTGGAAGGAGTTGACTGGATTGATCATTGCGTAATATCAGTCTCTAGGCAACTTTCACGAAGGCAATTTGTAAGTGAACCATAAACAACTCTAAAATGTCTAAATCTGTAAAAGCTGCAATGCATCCATCTTTGAAGGTGAAGAAAGATTGAGTCCACATGTCAGTCTTTCTCAATTACAAACTCTTACTTCAAAGAACTGGCATGGATTGAAATAAAAATGTCTTGAGTTTTTACTGATTGATACAAATGATATGTATTAGTAAAACAACACCTGTGTTCAGTGTCTGGCACAATATTGTGATACACACTACCGAAGAAAGTCTCTTATGCACACCAAAGTTTTTCATTTAAAATCAATGTTTTCTGTTTTAATATATTTTATTTTAATTTATAAATGTGATGGCAAAGCTGCATTTTCATCGGCCATTACTCCAGTGTTCTGAGTCACATGATCCTTCAGAAATAATTCTAATATGCCGATTTATAATATTTTAATATTATAAGTATTTAAATAATATATTTCTGTTAATGCATTTTTTTAGCATTCTTTGATGAATGGTTTTTTATTTGGAATTTATTTGAATTAGAAAAATTTGCAACATTACAGATGTCTTTAGTGTCGATTTTGATTAACTTAATGTGTCCTTGCTGAATAAAAGTGTTTATTTCTTTAAACTAATCTCGATCCAAACTTCTGAATGGTAATGTAGATGTGATAGATTGTATAATTGAGCTTGGCAAAAATGGCAAAAAAGGGCCTGACACACCAGAAAATTATTAAAATTATAACAAATAAAATATACAATAATCATTAACAGAAGCTTCAATATTTAAAAGATTTAAAATTAACAGTAGCTAGTAGTTTTAGACAAAATGTTAGGTTGTTGTTACTGATAAATTCAGATTTTGCATTAAAGAAATATATGTTTAATCTTTTTTTCTTTTTCTTACAATAACTTTGGTAAAAATTCAGTCAACATGTCTAAAAACTGAGGAAAAAAATACAATTCTATTTATTTCTTTTCCTAAAATGTAGGTCAAATTATGTCACTTTCTGGGTGTCACAAGTTTGGAATTTTGAAATTTATTTATTTTTTTGTATGTCCTGTTGTATGCTGTAATGTATACTATTATTGTAAATTCACTTGATTGGGGCAGCTTTGTATGTATAAAAATAAAAACTGAACTCACCATGCATTTGTTGGGCTTTTCACCAGAATGGACTCTCATATGAACGAGCAGTTTGTATCGAGCATTGAAGGGCTTGTGCCGACGGACACATCCTGCCCAGAAGCAGGTAAATTCCTCGCCTTTTCGCTGATCTATGTGAACCTTCTCTATATGTCTCACCAGTTCTTCTTTCAGCCTATAGGTAGCCCTACAATCCATCCATTTGCACGGCTGTTCTTCACTCAGGTGTTCATTCATTCCCTCAGCTCCAGGAAACCCGCTCAGTCCCAGATCATTCTTCAACTGCTGCAGTGTAGGAAGCTTTTCTGATACTTCTGTCCGAGTATTGTGAAGGTTAAGATGCTGGGTTTGTTCTTTGGCTGCGCCTGTGTCAGTGCAGAGATACTGAAAGAGTTCTTCCTTGTGCAGAAGCTTCTTGTTACAAAGATGGAATTCAGCAACAGGTTCTTGTTTAGGAGACTTGGGATACAAACATCCTTCTGGAGGTGTGCAACTGTAGAGAAGGCCCTGGGCCTCAGGTGGACCGCAGAGAGTTGAAAGAGATGGAGAAGTCAAACACAGCTCTGATATTGAGCCAGATGACTGGCTGGAGGAAGGGGAGGAGAAGGATGGAGAGAAGCCACTGAAAGATGATGTGGACAGGGAAGAGCAGAATAAGGAAGGGGATAATGTGTCGCTAACGTGCGATAGGTTATCTACAACCGACGCGCCATTCTTTACGCTGCTGATATATGACACAATGGTTCTTTCTGTGGAACAGACCAAATCGAAATCATCTGTTGTTATCGACACAGGCAACTCAGACAAGCTACACATCTTCAGAGCTTCCATGTGAACAGCTTGGTTTAAAGAAGACAGGTATTTTTCATCATTGTTAACAAGGCCACACTGGTCCAGCTGTGCAACCGCTGGACTTAGACCAGTAGGCCTCATGACGTTCTTCCAGTTAGCTTCCCTCTGAATGTGGATCATCAAATGGACACTGTAGAAATTATTCAGGGGTCGCAAACGTTAGCAGTGACACACCTGTGATGATTCACAAGGTACCTGGAAAGAACATCAGAAAAATGGATGAATTTGTGCAGTCAATTCAAATCAGAGATATCAGATCAAGTGTGTTCGTAGAAGACCTCAGGATAAACTGGTGCATGTTGAGGCTGAATGTAGGTGTTTGGTTTTTCCATCATCTAAACGGTTCCAGAATGCAAAGCTCTGTTCAGTCCTTTCACCAGTCACGGTTTACTACAGAGGGAAAAATTATAGGGTAACAATTAGTATCAATGTAATGATTACAATAATAAAAAGAACGAGAAAAAACCTCACCATAGACTACTGTTCAAAAGTTTGGGGTTATTAGAAAATGATTACTTTTATTAATCAAAAATGCATTCAAAAGAGGCAGTAAAAGGTGATTCAAATTTTACAACAGATTTCTATATCAAATAAATTCTGTTTTGAACTTTCTATTTATTAAAGAATCCTGAAAAAACATGCGTCACAGTTTCCACAGAAATATTAAGCAGCACAACTGTTTTCAACATTGATAACGAGCAGCAAAACAGCATTTCAGAATGATTTCTGAAGGATCATGTCACTGAAGACTGGAGTAATGATGCTGAAAATACAGCTTTGCCATAACAGCAATAAATAAAACACTTTCAAATATTTAAAAATAGAAAACAGTTATTTTAAACAGTAACACCATTTGACTATATTACTGTTTTTACAAGTAAAGGCTGTGTAAAATACGTTAGTGACTCCTGAATACATACATCAGTAAATAAATCAATAAATACATCAGTTTACTGCCATGTCTCCTTACAAAAAAATGTTTCCTGTAAATGGAAACAGATTTAGTAATATGTTACAGTGCAGTAGTTTCTCATTACAGAAAAAGTGGTGAGAAATCATCTTTGCTAACAATATATGACTATGTCTGTTGGAAATGCACAAATTTATATACCCAATTAACAGATTTGAGTCATACTAATATTGTACTACTTGTTCATCAAAATAGCTGCATTCTCACCGACAGTGATTAAATTGGCAGAGATCACAGTCTTCATTTGTTTGTTTCCAGTAGGTGATCCTGTCTGGTCTCAAATAAAAAATAAAACCATAAACCATTTGTCACCGTGAATCTTAGTCAGCATGAACTTCCCTTTAAACCATAGACTTAACTGTACAAGAACGCCTGTGTTACTGCAGTTCCTCTTCTTAATACACCATACCACCTAACCACACTCAAGGGTGACATCCACAGCCGCTGAAAGCCTGCAGAATCGACCGAGGTCAGAATCGCTGTATTAGTAGCCAATATGGTTCAATAAAAACGCTGTCAGTCCTCTCATGAATTGGACTTGATTATGGTGTGTGTTTTTCTTCTCTTTGAGGGTGCAGGTAGCAATGTTCAGACTCAGTAAAGATGAACAGAGAGACATTTGTGCCCTGACAGATTGCTTGGAACCAGGATGCAGATATCTGGTACCAAAACCGAGATTCTAATGTACCACATCCCTCAGCTAAGGAGAAGCAGGCCTGGAACAGTGGGGAAGGGTCTTCAAGAGGTCTCTCCTGTCCAACACTCACGCTACTGTGCTAAATTCATGCGCGCTTTAACACTCTGCACACATTCGCTCAAGTGATCCAGTGATGTGCTGCCATGATTGAGCTGGCAAATTAAAGTTATTGCCATGCTACTGCTTTGACTACATGCATCAAAAGGGCTTTAAAGGGTTAGTTCACTCAAAAATGAAAATTAGCCCATAAATTACTCACCCTCAAGTCATCCTAGGTGTATATGACTTTCTTCTTTCAGACGAATCCAGTCGGAGTTATATTAAAAATTGTCTTTGATCTTTCAAGCTGTTTAATGCCACTCAGCGGGTGTTGCATGCATCAGTCCAAAAGAAGTTAAATAAAAAGCGCCCATCCATAAAAAAAAGTGTCTCACAGGCTCCGGAGGGTGAACAAAGGCCTCCTGTAGCGAAACGATGCGTTTCAGTAAGAATAATATCCATATTCAAAACGTAATAATCACTTTAATCTAGCTTGCGCCAACAGTTGTAGATGGAAGCAGCTCCGGGAGAATGACGTATGAGGTCAGCATTGTGCATGCACTGGTGAGTCTCGTGAAAACCAACGTTTGTTAACAGGAGCAAAGGAAGCAAAGTTTCCTTACTTTAGCAAAGGAAAACCACTGCTTCTAATAAGTGACTGGTGTTTTGTTTTGATCTCTCCCCTGCGCTTCCGCTTTTGTCACTTCTGAGTGGCGCATGCGCAGCGCTGACCTCATACGTCAGCCGCCCGGAGCTGCTTCCGTGTAGGACTATTGGCACAAGCTACATTAAAGTGATTATTACGTTTTGAATATGGATATTTTTCTAACAAAAACGCATCGATTCGCTACAGGAGGTCTTTGTTCACCCCCCGGAGCCGTGTGAGACACTTTTTTATGGATGGGCGCTTTTTATTTAACTTCTTTTGGACTGATGCATGCAACACCCGCTGAGTGGCATTAAACAGCTTGAAAGATCAAAGACAATTTTTTATATAATTCCGACTGGATTCTTCTGAAAGAAGAAAGTCATATACACCTAGGATGACTTGAGGGTGAGTAATTTATGGGTTAATTTTCATTTTTGGGTGAACTAACCCTTTAATATGTCAAATCCTTTTCCCACATTGTATGCGTAACACTATTGTAAAAGAAGATAAAATCTAAGTTTATAATCACAGAAGATAAAGTGGCATTTCTACTCTTCTACTCAACTTTTTTTTTTAAGTGGTGGTTTAAGTTTATGGCCATGCCTCCTTACAGTAAATGTGTTATTTAAACAGAAACATATTTAGTAATGGGTCACTGTGGTTTTCACTTGCAGAATAAGTGGTGAGGAATCTAATTAGCAAATTATAATGACTAAATGTCTGACATAGAGTATCAAAAATATATCATGCATAACTCTGAAAACCACAAATCAGAATCCAAATGTATGACCAATTAAACACACTCACACACACACAAAAGAACAATTATATAAAATTTTGATGACATCTATTTTGCAAATGCCTCTTATATTGTTGTAAAGATTCAAGGTTCATTACACAAATGCATTTGGTCACCCACAGAAAATAAGGAAAACAAACGAACATATTAAAATAATAAGAAATCTCTACATACTCATGGGAACACATAAGTTAAAGCATGGCATGACTAATGGATTGATTCAGTGTAATTGGTATAAGAAGATTCTCTGACCATGCAGAATCTTCACCTTTTGCACTCAATGAACCTTTATCAGACTGTTTTCTCAAGTAGTGGTTCACTAAAGTGTTGTTGTCCATTATGCTCTCATGCCTAAAGAACTTAATGGAGAAACACCATATGCCACTCTTGAAGTTATTCAATACTGTTCAGACTTTACCAGAGGTCTTTAAAATTCCTTCCACTCGAATTGTGGGCATCTTAAACACCTCAGCTAAATTCAGTTTTATTCAAGATGAAAATGTACATCTTTAAAGGAATAGTTCACCCAAAAATGAAAATGTTGTAATAATTTACTCACCCTCATGTCATGTCAAACCTGTATACGTTTCTTTTTGAACACAAAAGATGATTTTGAAGAACCAAACAGTTGTTGGTCCCCATTGACTTCCATAGGGAAAGAAATACTAATGGAAGTCAATGGGCACCATCAACTGTTTGATTGCCAGCATTATTCAAAATATCATCTTTTATGAATAAACATAATAAAGAACGACATGAGGGTGAGTATATGATGACAAAACTTTCATTTTTGGGTGAACTCTCTTTAAGTTGTATTGTAACATTTTGTCTTCAGTAATTTCCAGAATTATGCTGAATGAAATAACCTGCCAATTATTGCATTTAAAAAGCTGAGTCGTAAGGGAAATTGCTAATGAAATTGGAACAAACCATATGATTCCATTTAAGGAATTCTTTCATTTTAATATCACCACAGATTGCTAAACACAGCTGTGTAATCTGACTGGGAAATGAGTACTTATTTAGCAATAAATACGTCTGTCTTCATTTTTAGAGCACTTCTATTTTAGAACAAACATACGTTATAAAATGCGTCATGGCACGACACTATTAAGATTTATTAAACAAATGAAAATTATGTTTTCGTATGCTTTTTTTTTATTTATTTTTTTAATCATGCTCTGTACTTGTTGGCCAAACTTGTGGCTGGCATGTTTATTGTCTCCAGAACGGGCATGAAAAGGTGAAATAAATTAATCTGCTTTGTAATTACTCTGATTTATTCGTTTGCAGCAGGTGCCTGGCAGCTGTTAACGGAGCAGAGGGAAAAGACGTAATTAACTATGATGTTAAGGTTTGTGTCATTTTCAACTCTGCCACTTTCAACAAGCCAGACATCTTTGAAGTACACTCAAAGACTGGATTCAAGCTAAACTAGCAGGACTATCCATCTCTTCTTACTAAACATAAAATAATGAATGACGAGACACACAGCCTTGAAAAGAGGAATAATATCACCTACCACATTTACATTTAGTCATTTATTCAAAGAGACTTACAAATGAGGAACAAGCAGTACTAGTTTATCATACAAGAGCTCATAACACACACAAGTGGAGTAGTACTGACAGAACCGAAGTTAGAGCAAAAGAATTTTGAGAATTGAAAGAAAAACATTAAATAATACGAGGAGTGCAGGAGTTCAAACACCTCCCTAACAGTATCTACTAGTCTAGTACCACAGAAAAACAATACAATATACTATAGAGATAAACAACAGTACTCTATCTTCCTACACATCCACCCGAAGATGTAGTGTCACTATAATTAACTCTGGCTATGTGAAATCAGGAAGAAATATCATATTAGGGACAACGAGAAATATCTAATTCAGTATTTACTTGTGTTATATTCTGTATCGTATGAAAGAAAACTAGTGAAACTGAAAAAGAAAAAAATGACATGCAAGTATTCATCAAGTGAAATTTTCAATGACTATATGTTTAAACTGTGACAAAATCCAGACAGTTACTTTATTCAACATAAAATATCACTTTCTCATCCAAACCCCTAGAATCAGTCATGATAGTCTTACAAAGCATTACTCGCATCAAATAATATTGCCATAATAACCCTGGATGTACAGAATTGGTGCCTGCAGAGCCAAGAGAGAGCGGAAATTGCCATCATTGCATAAAGTCAAGTTGGTTATTTGTCAATTGTACAGTTAAACTGGGTTT